GAGAGAGAGAGAGAGAGAGAGAGCTCTGGTAGCGTAGTGCCTAAGGCACTTGACTGCTAACCAGAAGGCTGGCAGTTCAAACCCACCAGCCACTACTACTCGGAAGGAAGAGATGGGGCAATCTACTTCCGTAGTGATACTGCCTCCGAAACCCAAGGAGGGGTCGCTATGAGTCGGGGCCGACTCGACGGCAAACAACAACAACAACAACATATATATATATAAAGAATATATAAGAATGCTTCAAATATACCCAATCAGTAACATTTCTCTTAAAGTGTGTTATAAGTGAATATTAAGAAAACACCAGAAAATTTATTCTAAAAATAATTCAAATGAAGGAAAAATAAATTGCCTAATTAAAAAAAAATTGCCACAGAGTCTTTTCTGACCCATAACAGCCCTACAGGACAGAGTAGAACTGCCCCATAATGTTTCCAAAGCTGTACTATTTACTGAAGTAGAGTGTCACATCTTTTTCCTGCAGAGTGACTGATGGGTTCCATCTGCAGACCTTTCAGTTAGGAACTGAGGGCATGGAATAAATATAAAAGTAGCTTTAACTTTGGGAAAAAAAAATCCTAAATATCTAATTGTAGTGGAATGATTATATTTATTAAAGACAATATTATGAAGAAATATTATGCATGATTTTATATGAAAATTTCAACGGTTAAATTATAAGATGCCAGATACTCAAATATGTTTTTTTTCTAAAAAATATTTTTGAATAATATTAGTGTAAAATGTTTTAAAATACTCACTCTGAATGAAACTAAACCAAAATTACATATTTATCTAAATGAAAGCGAGAGGAAGAAAGATGATTGCTGAGCTGTATGCTGGAATTTCCAATACTTTATAATATTTATTCTCTGAATAAAAGTATAATCATTGTGGTACCTTTAACAAGTTCGTTTTCACAGTAAAAAGCAATATTCTTCAGCAAAGGCTCATCATTTAAGTCAGAAAGATGAGTTAAATCCAAATCCTCAAAAATGTTTATATTACTTAGGATGAAAAATTCACACCATTGTTTCTGAAAATTAAAAAAAAAAATCTAAGTTATTGACAGCTTTCATATTAGCAATAAAGCATAGAATGACTTCATAGACTTCTAATCCAAGTGAAAGGTAAGCTGGCAGGGCTGTTTATTTCTTACTAATGTAATCCCAAACAGGTTGGGTACTGAGGAAAGTTTTATGGCTTAAAAGATTAAAGTATAAAATAAAATAAAAACGGAATAAAAAATGAATTTATTCTGAATCAAGGAGATCAGTATTTTAGTGTGTGTGTGTATATGTATATATATATATATATACACACACACCCACTGCTGTCGAGTTGTTTCCAACTCTTGGCGACTTCTCCTGGGTTTCCAAGGCAGTATCACTATGGAAGTAGATTGCTCAACCTTCCTTCCAAGGAATGGCTGGTGGGTTTGAACTGCCAGCCTTCTGGCACTTATATCTATGTATCTATCTATGTACCTATATAGGATATATATGTGTATATATATATATATATATATATACACACACACACACACACACACTCACACACACACACACACATATATATACACACTCACATACGTTGTTGTTCTTATGTGCTGCCGAGTTGGACCTGACTTATAGAGACCTTCCTTGGGTTTCCAAGGCAGTATCACTAACAGAAGTAGATTGCCCAACCTTCCGAGGACTGGCTGGTGGGTTTGAACTGCCAGCCTTCTGGTTAGCAGTCAAATGCCTTAGGCACTAAGCTACCAGAGCTTTTATATATATATTTTTTGTCCCTCATACTGTGAACCACAGATACTCTCTGATGGCGACAGGAAGATACCTGCTTTCAAATCTGCCTCTGTTCTTTACTTAGGTTTTGATGATTTCCAATTTTATTTTTAGGTAAAAATAGCATGTTTTAAAAAAGCAATTTTGAATGTTCAGAGATTTAGAAGATGCTGCATCCTTCAAATGCAAAGAATCGCATCCACCTACATTATGTGCACCTATCCTGTTTGTGATCATGAGGCTATACTCCTACCCAACAGCAGCAGAATGTCTTCACTGACTACACTTCAAAATTTAGAGAAGAGTTAAGTGAGCAACACCAGCTAATGAAAGCCTAGTCAATCTTTGAATCAATAATCGTGTATGGGAAGTTAAGTTGAGAGGGACAGAATCTACCAAGGTCTCATCATTGGTTGAGAGATGGTACAAGAAGCATTAATACCCCAGCATTGTAAATCAGGAAAAAACCTTCAGGCAGAGTCACAGGAATTTATGGTAAAACAAATAAATAAATAGCAGGAGTTATGTTGTTGTTGTTGTTAAGTGCCATAGAGTCGTTTCCGACTCATAGCGACCCCATGCACAGCAGAACGAAACACTGCCCGATCCCGCACCAGCCCCACAATCCCTGCTATACT